TTGACGTGTACCAATGATGAAAATTACAGGCCTCTCTCATCTTTTTAAGTGGGAGAACTTGCACAATTGGTGGCTGACTAAATACTTTTTTTCCCCACTGTACTTAGGTTGGAGTCATTAAAACTCGTTTTTCAACCACTACACACATTTCTTGTTAACCAACTATAGTTGGTGGCATGACACAAGTAATTTTTTCCAACAATTGTTTACAGACAAATTATTTAACTTAGAATTCACTGTATCACAATTCCAGTGAGTCAGAAGTGTACATACACTAAGTTGACTGTGCCTTTAAACAGCTTGGAAAATTCCAGAAAATGATGTCATGGCTTTAGAAGGTTCTGATAGGCTAATTGACATCATTTGAGTCAATTGGAGGTGTACCTGTGGATGTATTTCAAGGCCTACCTTCAAACTCAGTGCCTCTTTGCTTGACATCAAGAGAAAATCAAAAGAAATCAGCCAAGACCTCAGAAAAGAAATTGTAGACCTCCACAAGTCTGGTCATCCTTGGGAGCGATTTCCAAATGCCTGAAGGTACCACGTTCATATGTACAAACAATAGTACGCAAGTATAAACACCATGGGACCACGCAGCCGTCATACCGCTCAGGAAGGAGATGCGTTCTGTCTCCTAGAGATGAACGTACTTTGGTGCGAAAAGTGCAAATCAATCCCAGAACAACAGCAAAGGACCTTGTAAAGATGCTGGAGGAAACAGGTACAAAAGTATCTATATCCACAGTAAAACGAGTCCTATATCGACATAACCTGAAAGGCCGCTCAGCAAGGAAGAAGCTACTGCTCCAAAATCGCCATAAAAAAGCCAGACTACGGTTTGCAATTGCACATGGGGACAAAGATCGTACTTTTTGTCCTCTGGTCTGATGAAACAAAAATAGAACTGTTTGGCCATAATGACCATCGTTATGTTTGGAGGAAAAAGGGGGGCGCTTGCAAGCCGAAGAACACCCTCCCAACCGTGAAGCACGGGGGTGGCAGAATCATGCTGTGGGGTAGCTTTGTTGCAGGAGGGACTGGTGCACTTCACAAAATAGATGGCATCATGATGAAGGAAAATGATGTGGATATATTGAAGCAACATATCAAGACATCAGTCAGGATGTTAAAGCTTGGTCGCAAATGGGTCTTCCAAATGGACAATGACCCCAAGTATACTTCCAAAGTTGTGGCAAAATGGCTTATGGACAACAAAGTCAAGGTATTGGAGTGGCCATCACAAAGCCCTGACCTCAATCCTATAGACAATGTGTGGGCGGAACTGAAAAAGCGTGTGCGAGCAAGGAGGCCTACAAATTTGACTCTGTCAGGAGGAATGGGCCAAAATTCACCCAACTTATTGTGAGAAGCTTGTGGAAGGCTACCCGAAATGTTTGACCCAAGTAAAACAATTTAAAAGCAATGCTACCAAATACTAATTAAGTGTATGTCAACTTCTGACCCACTGGGAATGTGATGAAAGAAATAAAAGCTGAAATAAATAAATCTCTCTACTATTATTCTGACATTTCAAATTCTTAAAATAAAGTGGTGATCCTAACTGACCTAAGACAGGGCATTTTTACTAGGATTAAATGTCAGGAATTGTGAAAAACTGAGTTTAAATGTATTTGGCAAAGGTGTATGTAAACTTCCGACTTCAACTGTATAAATATATATTTAATTTTATACTGAACAAAAATATATACGCAACATGTGTTGGTCCCATGTTTCATGAGCTGAAATATGCACGAAAAGCTTATTTCTCTCCAATTTTGTGCACAAATTTGTTTACATCCCTGTTAGTGAACATTTCTCCTTTGCCAATATAATCCCTCCACCTGAAAGGTGTGGCATATCAAGAAGAGGATTAAACAGCATGATCATTAGACAGGTGCACGTTGTGCTGGGGACAATAAAAGGTTGCTCTAAAATGTGCAGTTTTGTCACACAACACAATGCCGCAGATGTCTCAAGTTTTGAGTGAGAGTGCAATTGGCATGCTGACTGCAGGAATGTCCACCAGAGCTGTTGCCAGAAAATTGAATGTTCATTTCTCTGCCGGAAGTTTTAGAGAATTTGGCAGTACGTCCAACCGGCATCACAACCACAGACCATGTGTAACCACGCCAGCCCAGGACCTCCACATCCGGCTTCTTCACCTGCGGGATCGTCTGAGACCAGACACTCGGACAGCTGATGAAACTGAGGAGCATTTCTGTCTGTAATAAAGCCCTTTTGTGGGGAAAAACTCATACTGATTGGCTGGGCCTGGCTCCCAAGTGGGTGAGCCTATGCCCTCCCAGGCCCACCCATGGATTGGGGCCTAATTTATTTATTTCAATTGACTGATTTCATTTACATTTACATTTACATTTTAGTCATTTAGCAGACGCTCTTATCCAGAGCGACTTACAGTTAGTGAGTGCATACATTTTCATATGAACTGTAACTCAGTAAAATCAATGAAATTGTTGCATGTTGCGTTTATATTTTTGTTCAGTATATATATTTTCCTTTATTATTTTCCCCTAACCTTATCATCCTCCCCTAATTGGAGTAAACTAGTGGACAACAACACTGTGGCTTCTATTTCCAGTTTATACATAGTATATACATTCTATGGACACAGTATATTTTACATTAGTTATCTTTTGTTTGTCTTTAGTCCCATCCTTCAGCTACCCTCAACCCCTCCCATCAATCTCTTAACACCATCCATTTTGGAATGTCTATTTGCCATATATTTTTCAACTGTGCTGTGATGTTTCACAAAAGTTCGGAACTTTTATATTCTCATAGTTTCTAGAGATTGTAAATTAAAGATTAACATTTCTTCTAAGAATATTATTATATTATTGATCAACTATGACTATGACTTTTCAGATCACCCAGCAGTGGTAAATGCAGAGTGAACTCCAGGTAAATGTTACAATTCTTCAGCCATTCCTGAACCTGCGACCAAAAACAAGCTACATCTGGACAGTGCCAAAAGAAATTATCTAATGATTCTGTCTCTGTTATGGGTATGCTTGTAATCATTAAGGGCTGTGGAGTTTTTCAGGATAAAAAAATAAACAGACTGGAGGTAAGCATAGGCAAAATCTTAGAGGAAAACTTGGTTCAGTCTGCTTTCCACCAGACACTGGGAGATGAATTCACCTTTCAGCAGGACAATAATGTAAAACACAAGGCCAAATCTACACTGGAGTTGCTTACCAAGAAGACAGTGAATGTTCCTGAGTGGCCGAGTTACAGTTTTGACTTAAATCTGCTTGAAAACTATGGCAAGACCTAAAAATGGTTGTCTAGCAATGATCAACAACCAACTTGACAGAGCTTGAAGAATGTTGAAAATAATAATGCGCAAATGCTGGACAATCCAGGTGTGGAAAGCTCTTAGAGACTTAACCAGAAAAACTCACATGAATACTTATCTAATAAAGAAATAATTAGTGTTTTATTATTATTTTTATTTATTTTTTTACATTACAGAGTATTTTGTATAGATCGTTGACAAAAAGATTACAATTAAATCCATTTTAACCCCACTTTGTAACACAACAAAATGTGGAAAAAGCCAAGGGGTGTGTATACTTTCTGAAGGCCGTGTAAGCAGTGCTCAGGCAGTTACTAGTTAATGTAGACATTTTAGGTGTTTTCAGGCATTTCCTTCCCCTTAGGGAACAACATTATGGAAGACATGAGTGCAGTGAGTCTCAGACGCTGTGTGTGAGAGCTCAATAACATGTTGATGCTCTCTCTTGCTGACTGAGGTGTGAGATCACCCACACAAGAGGGGGAGATATGTAGATATTTTGGGCCTACTGCCTCACAGAGTGTGTGTGTGTGTGTGTTCCCTTCCTGTGTCCCCCACTATATAAGCTCACTCTCCTTATTGAGGGTAAAGGAGTCAACACCAACCGTTACAACTGCATTTCTGACTCATACAGAGCAACCCAGTCCTAGTAGGCAACGCTGCCCATTGGCATTAAGATGAATGGGCATTAGGTCACTCAAAGTTGTAGCACACATAATTATGATGAAATTATGATATTATTTTAAAGCACAAAAAGTTGTAAGTAACCTGTGAGCCAGATACATTTTTAACTTGTGTATTTCGTTTTTGTAAATACTGAAGATCTAACTGATAATCAAGAAGTGTCATGTGAAGGTAGAATGTTGGCTAAAGAATCATATTCGTCACATTAATTGTTACTCTAGAACTCTGATGCAACCATTCTATTTCTGCTAATTTATCGGTTGCCAAAACAAGATTTACCTTGAAAGATCCAGCGATGACATCATAAGTGAATTCCTGTGACATTCTAGAATTTTGACAATGTATATTCCAGGAAACAGAACCAAACAGAATGCTAAATTGTGCTGAAATTCCAAATTCACAAACTGATCTGATCAAGTAGACATGTGTTACAATGACTCCTGACAAATCCTCTTCTTCTCTGCCTAGAATCCCCAAACTGGGCAAGAAAGGTAAGGCTTTTTAAATGTTTAAAAGTCAAATATTTCTGTAAGATAACTCATGCATAAATGTTATGTAATTCAATAATGGAAGGAATACATGTTTCTTTGTGTCCTAATCAACACTTGACTTACAAATCTGTCTTCCTTTGAAAACAGAAAATATTCGACCAGGATGGCTGCCCTCAGTTGTCCACGTTGGGAAGAAGATGTCCTGGGTGTCTGAGGTGTCTGCACCAAGGGCCCAGCCTGTCAAAGACTGCCTGGAGGTGAAGGACTTCCAGTCTTACCTGGTGCTGGACGTGTGGGAGTGTAACATGGAGGCCCTTCAGAAGGCCAGTGTCTCTCTTGCTGCCTCCAGCCGACCTGGCCACAGCCAGAGCTGGAGAAGGGAGAGTCGCCCTGACCTCTACTGCTACTCCAGGCCCAGCCATGGCGAGAGGCGTAGGCGGTGATGCAGCCTGGCTTCTCTGGCGAGAGACACAGCCACCAGAGCCGTGACTCACTGCCAGTGCAGCATGGAGAGCTCCAGAGAGAACCAGCAGGACCTCTTCTCCCAGCTGTCCAAGTCCCGTAAGAGGAGCAAGGAGGGTGGGGAGGACCCACAGGCCACCCCAGACTCCAAGAGTAGCAGAACTGAGCACCCCACCCACAGCATGAAATGTTATGTATGTGTTTGTTTTTCATATTTGCCATGTTTTGGAATGAGTTTGAGTATTTTTGGTAAGAATTTGTATAAATGTCTTACCTGTTCTTTAACGCTTGATTGTCTGTGCGTGTTTTATTTTTTATGACGTATTGCTATGTGCAATCAAATAAAAGTTGCCTAACGAAAAAACAGGTAACTGCCAAAATAAAGGAAACAACATAAAGCGTTTTAACAGTGCTTTGGGCCACCACGAGCCGCCAGAACATCTTCAATGCACCTTGGCATAGATTCTACAAGTGTCTGAAACTCTATCGGCGGTATGCAATACCATTCTTCCACGAGAAATTCCATAATTTGGTGTTTTGTTGATGGTGGTGGAAAATGCTGTCTCAGGCGTCGCTCCAGAATCTCCCATAAGTGTTCAATTGGGTTGAGATCTGGTGACTGAGACACATGCACACGCACACACACACACTTTAAACCCCTGCTTCTTTGAGACCCCTCTTTCAAAGTCAGTGAGATCTCTTCTTCCAGCCATGGTAGCCAAAATAATGGGCAACTGGCCATTTTTATACATGACCCTAAGCATAATGGGATAGTAATTGCTTAATCAATCAATCAAATGTATTTATAAAGCCCTTTCTACATCAGCAGTTGTCACAAAGTGCTTATACAGATGCCGAGCCTAAAACCCCAGAGAGCAATGAAGAAACCTAGAGAGGAACTAGGCTCTGAGGGGTGGCCAGAGTAGTTAAGGCCAGATCGTTCTTCAAGATGTTCAAACGTTCATAGATGACCAGCAGAGTCAAATAATAATCACAGTGGTTATAGAGGGTGTAACAGGTCACCACCTCAGGAGTATATGTCAGTTGGCTTAATTAACTCAGGAACCTCATCTGTGTGGAAGCACCTGCTTTCAACATACATTGTATACCTCATTTACTCAAGTGTTTCCTTTATTTTGGCAGTTAACTGTGCATTGGCAATAGGCTATACTACAGTTTGCAAGGTTAGAGCAAGAATGTATATAAGCTGCAAGATTACTAAAACTGATATGAATTATTCTGTGTAAGAAGTCTCATTCTCACATCCTAATGGTAAGACAAGAATGCTTGGGTTGAAAGGTCCTGATCTGGAAGGGTTGGCATATGAAAGACCCTCTCTTACCTCTTACGATCTGTCTTCCGTATGTATGGACCCTACATCATAGGTCAGAGGTCAACCATGACCACATACAGTACCAGTCAAAAGTTTGGACACACCTACTCATTCCAGGGTTTTTCTTTTTTTTTACTATTTTCTACATCGTAGAATAATAGTGAAGACATCAAAACTATGAAATAACACATATGGAAACATGTAGTAACCAAAAAAGTGTTAAACAAATCAAAATATATTTTATATTTCAGATTCTTCAAATAGCCACCCTTTGCCTTTATGACAGCTTCGCACATTCTTGGCATTCTCTCAACCAGCTTCACCTGGAATGCTTTTCCAACAGTCTTGAAGGAGTTCCCACATATGCTGAGCACTTGTTGGCTGCTTTTCCTTCACTCTGCGGTCCGACTCATCCCAAACCATCTCAATTGGGTTGAGGTCGGGGGATTGTGGCGGCCAGGTTATCTGATGCAGCACTCCATCACTCTCCTTTTTGGTAAAATAGCCCTTACACAGCCTGGAGGTGTGTTGGGTCATTGTCCTGTTGAAAAACAAATGATAGTCCCACTAAGCCCAAACCAGATGGGATGGCGTATCACTGCAGAATGCTGTGGCAGCCATGCTGGTTAAGTGTGCCTTGAATTCTAAATAAATCACAGACAGTGTCACCAGCAAAGCACCCCTACACCATAACACCTCCTCCTCCATGCTTTACGGTGGGAAATACACATGCAGAGATCATCCGTTCACCCACACCACGTCTCACAAAGCCAGAGCGTTTGGAACCAAAAATCTCCAATTTGGACTCCAGACTAAAGGACACATTTCCACTGGTCTAATATCCATTGCTCGTGTTTCTTGGCACAGGCAAATCTCTTCTTCTTATTGGTGTCCTTTAGTAGTGGTTTATTTGCAGCAATTCGACCATGAAGGCCTGATTCACACAGTGTCCCCTGAACAGTTGATGTTGAGATGTATCTGTTACTTGAACTATGTGAAGCATTTATTTGGGCTGCAATTTCTGAGGCTGGTAACTCTAATGAACTTATCCTCTGTAGCAGAGGTAACTCTGGGTCTTCCATTCCTGTGGCGGTCCTCATGAGAGCCAGTTTCATCATAGCGCTTGATGGTTTTTGTGACAGCACTTGAAGAAACTTTCAAAGTTCTTGAAATGTTCCGTATTGACTGACCTTCATGTCTTAAAGTAATGATGGACTGTTGTTTCTCTTTGCTTATTTGAGCTGTTCTTGTCAAAATGTGAACTTGGTCTTTTACAAAATAGGGCTATCTTCTGTATACCCCCCCATACCTTGTCACAACACATCTGATTGGCTCAAACGCATTAAGAAGGAAAGAAATTCCACAAATGAACTTTTAAGAAGGCACACCTGTTAATTGAAATGCATTCCAGGTGACTATCTCATGAAGCTGGTTGAGAGTGTGCAAAGCTGTCATCAAGGCAAAGGGTGGCTATTAGAAGAATCTCAAATATAAAATATATTTGGATTTGTTTAACACTTTTTAGGTTACTTTATGATTCCATATGTGTTATTTCATAGTTTTGATGTCTTCACTATTATTCTACAATGTAAAAATAAAGAAAAACCCTTGAATGAGTAGGTGTGTCCAAACTTTTGACTGGTAGTGTAGCTACCAGTGTCACATCCAGGAAAATACTCAGATCGCATAGCGATTAGATAGCTCACCACAAAGTGTCAGGCATGGGTGGACAACACCAGACACGCAAGCTAACATTGTTCTAACTTTACCCCATTTGGTTGTGTGTGTGTGTGTGTGTGTGTGTGTGTGTGTGTGTGTGTGTGTGTGTGTGTGTGTGTGTGTGTGTGTGTGTGTGTGTGTGTGTGTGTGTGTGTGTGTGTGTGTGTGTGTGTGTGTGTGTGTGTGTGTGTGTGAGTGAGTGAGTGAGCGAGAGAGCGAGAGAGCAAGTGAGTGAGAGAGCGAAAGAGTGAGAGAGCACAAGAGCAAGAGAAAGAGAACAGCAAGGCCTGAAAGTGCTCTGTCATTCTCTTCAATAAAGCATCATCTATATATGCACATGTTCTATCTTCTCTCTGGGGTGATACATTCCAAAAGGCCCCCCTACATTAAGCTTAAGTCATATATTAATTAATTAATTAACTGAACAACCCTATAACTTTTTAAACGCCTGTCAACCCAAGCACCCTGTATGATCTTCCTCTTCTTAATTAAGCGTCAGAAGGTTTGTTGTTATCTTATTAATATGGAAGCTTGTCATGTGAGTGTATTTATTATGTTGACAAATACATATGTTTGACAACACAATGCTGTGTCAGTGGACATATGAGTGACAGCAAGAATAACCCTGGCTGGTAAAGGTTTGGTCACCGTTCACTTTTACAACAACCCCAAAGCTCCGTCCCCCTCGCCCAATTCGGAGAGACTAAAAATAAAGATAAGTGTCACAACTGTTATGGCGCCCCAGGGCCAATCGTCAACCCTCTTCTCTTATGTTACCCAATGTTGTTGCGTCTCGCTATCTCCGTCAGATTAGAGAATACCCATCCTGCAGTTGTATATGGTCATGACAGGGGCATTCCTGGGAGTCCAGGGGCCTGACGCGAGCTTCAGGGGTGCGGAGCTTTTTAAACCCCTGTCCTGCCTAGAGCTTCATTTAGCTACTCAAGTGTAACGGACATCACCAAGCCGGATGCCACCGCCGACTTCGTAGGGCTACTAGCGGTCCCGTCCTGTCCTCTCCACAGACAACGCGTTCATCTTTCTAGTCTATTCTTCTTCCGTGCCAAGGTGTCTATTCGGATGCAGCTACCACTTTTTTCACTTCTCTGATCAATTAAAATCCAGGGGACCGTCCACGTTGGAAACGATAAACGGATTATTTAATTCATCATCCCACTGACAGAGTGCTTGGTTTGACAAGCTCCACTCCCATCACAAGTACAATCGAAAATCTCGCCTACCTTTTTAAAAATCTTCTCCAAGTTTTACAACTTTTTTCACGGCCAGTGCGCAAGCTTGGCACTGGCCCGCAAAAAACATTTTTTATTTCTTTTCGCGCTCCCTTGCGTGCCGTAACGTTCACACACTGGCCCCACTGATTGTGGTATAAAAAAGGGCACGGAAACCGACAACATGATGAGCAACAATACCTACTACGAGCAGCAGCAGCCGCCGCAGTACTACCAGGGTACGGACAACGGGGACGACGAGGAAGAGGAGATGCCGGCCACGGAGAAGGACCTTGCTGAGGATGCGCCCTGGAAGAAGATCCAACAGAACACCTTCACCAGGTGGTGCAACGAGCACCTCAAGTGCCTCAACAAGCGGATCAACGACCTACAGAAAGACCTGACCGACGGGCTCAAGCTCATCGGTCTCCTGGAGGTTTTGAGCCAGAAGAAAATGTACAGAAAGTACCACGCCAGACCTAACTTCAGACAGATGAAACTGGAAAATGTGTCCGTCGCGCTGGAATTCCTGGAGAGAGAACACATAAAGCTGGTATCGATAGGTAAGTGGTGTTTGCATTTAGGACCTATATAGCGCAATGATTGGGTTTGTCGGAACAAAGTTGATGCTTTGCCCGCTCTGTCTACGGTAGCCACTTTTGGGGATACAGTTACTGGTTAGAGGGCGTATTTGAGTCAGGGGAACGAGTCTGAGATTGATTTCTCCTCAAAATGAATAAAGCATTTTTTGAGGTTATACAAAAGTCATGCGCAACGCAGCTTTTATTTATTAGAGTACAACTTATTCCTGGTTGTGTTGTTGATTGTTCCATATGGACATGCTTATTGTTCAGAGTTGTGTTTTCACTGTATATACTTCTTCATATCTGTTGTTGCATGCGTTATAAACAGTGCATAACTGAAATGTACTGTTCTTTTTGACGCAAATTATGCACGTCGTTGATATGTACTTCTGTGCGTAAAAGTCACCAGACAACGGCACGATGTGTTCAGCACGCGTCAATCAAGAAATGTCCCCTTTCTGACTGCTTTCAGCTGGCTCCTGGAAACCGATAGACTCTGTGTGTTATTACTGTGTAACTTATGCATGGTCCAAAAGAACCGATACTGCCAATTGAGAGTCATTACAATCTCAGGTTTAACCAACTTGGCTGCTGTCATTTGTTGTTCATGAAATGAAATACTGAATGAGTCATTTGGAGCTTTCTCATGGAATGGAATGTCTCCAATTTGGTTTGGCAATGGCTTTGTAGTTGCTTCTGAATTATGTAGTGATTTAGCATTTCTATCACATGTTCAAATATGTAGAATAAAGATGATTGAGTAACAAGTAGTCTACAAAGCATTTGTATACATCCGGCTATTTGTATAGACACTGAGGGTTCATAGCTTTCACCTGGATTTACCTGTTCAGTCTATGTCATGGAAAGAGCAGGTGTTCTTAATGTTTTGTACACTCAGTGTACATCACTCACATATTATCTTATCTGATGACATTACCCACCAGGTCTTATAGAATCAGTGCTCCAGGCTGTGGGATATGTTCTTGGAGAACGAATAACAACATGAGAGAGGCAGGGGCTCAGCTTGATGGCCCTAACTGGATCTAATGTGGATGATGATGATGATGCAACAACCACCAGGACAGACAGTAGTCTACTGTTAAGACTGGCCCTGTAGAGGGCTCCTCTGTTGCTGAGCCTTATAACAGTGATTTAGGAATGCACCTTGTGGTCAGAGAAGATGTGGTTCTAAGGAGAATGGTCCTTGGCTGAGCGTTCTGCCTTGAAACTAATCCATGCTATAATATGTATTGTCAGAATCTAAAACATGTTCATGAGAAAAGGCGGCACACCAAAGCATCCCACCTTGCTGTCAACATCTGTTGTGCTGATGTGTTGTGGCTGTGTTGGCCAAGTCTTGATAAGAGCATGGCAACAGCCATTCATTCTGCCTAACAACAGCCAAACAGACTGCAAACAGGTTGGGCTACAAGATGGGTTGGCAAGGTGGTGGCACACACACAGCAGTTGTTTCAGCAGTGCCTTAGGTGTGTTTGTGTTAGATCTGTCCTTGTGTCAACTGTTTGAAGGTGTAAAGACCACCAAAGACTATAAAATACCTGAGGATTGACAAGTCAGGTCCCAGCTATTGGACCATTCACCTATTCTGAAGAGACACCAGTGGTACATACCCCAGTTCCCACTCTGACCTTGGTTGTTTTCTTCTTTGTTTACTTTCTGTCACATACAGTGACTTCAGACAGTATTCGCACCCCTTGACTTTTTTGGGATTAAAATTGATTTAATTATCATTTTTTGTCAATGATCCACACACAATACTCTGTAATGTCAAAGTGGAAGAAGAATTCAACAAGTTTTATTTTTTATTTATGAAAAACAGTACAGTAATATATCTTGATTAGATACATATTCAACCGCCGAAGTCAATACATGTTAGACTCACCTTTGGCAGCGACTACAGCTATGTGTGTTTTTGGGTAAGTCTCTAAGAGCTTTGCATACCTGGATTGCACAATATTTGCCCATTATTCTTTAAAACATTCTTCAAGCTCTGTCAAGTTGGTTGTTGATCATTGCTAGACAGCCATTTTCAAGTCTTGCCATACATTTTCAAGGCGATTTAAGTCAGAACTATAACTAGGCCACTCAGGAACATTCAATGTCATCTTGGTAAGCAACCCGTGTAGATTTGGCCTTGTGTTTTAGGTCATTGTCCTGCTGAAAGGTGAATTTGTTTCCCAGTATCTGTTGGAAAACAGACTGAGCCAGGTTTCCCTCTAGGATTTTGCCTGTGCTTAGCTCTATTCCATTTATTTTGATCATAAAAAACTCCCTAGTCCTTGCCGATGACAAGCATACCCATAACATGATGCAGCAACATGATGCAGCAACCACCATGCTTGAAGAGTAGTACTCAGTGATGTGTTGTGTTGTATTTTCCCCAATCATAATGCTTTGTATTCTAAAAGTTCATTTCTTAGCCACATCTTTTGCATTATTACTTTAGTGTCTTATTGCAAACAGGATGCATGTTTTGGAATATTTTTATTCTGTACAGGCTTTCTTCTTTTCACTCTGTCATTTAAGTTAGTATTGTGGAGTAACTACAATGTTGTTGATCCATCCTCAGGACAAACTGAAACTGGGTCAGCTTTGAGGGGTTATCCAGTCCAATATCTGTTAGGGCTACCCAGGATGCAGTGTGATAAAGTGGAAAATGGGTCAACAGGTAGACAGAGTCATTGGGGAGGGGCTGGACCAGGGTGGCTGAGTGACATTGGTGATAAGAGTGATCCTTCCAGAAGGGCACCTGCCATGGCGCTCTCTCTCAGTGGGGGGTGGAGGGGAGTGTTGGGTAACAGAAGAGCTGGAGAACACACACGCACACACTCGCTCTGTCTTTCTCCCTGACACACACAATACACACACACTCATGGATGCCAGAGGGCAGGGAAGGAAGACTAGAGGGTGTGTGACTTGAAGAGTTGGAAGTCAATGTGTGTCACAGAGTGTGACTTCAAGAGTTGGAAGTCAGTGTGTGTCACAGTGTGACTTGAAGAGTTGGAAGTCAGTGTGTGTCACAGAGTGTGACTTGGAGAGTTGGAAGTCAGTGTGTGTCACAGAGTGTGACTTAGAGAGTTGGAAGTCAGTCTGTGTCACAGAGTGTGACTTGGAGAGTTGGAAGTCACTGTGTGTCACAGAGTGTGACTTGAAGTGTTGGAAGTCAGTGTGTGTCACAGAGTATGACTTGGAGAGTTGGAAGTCAGTGTGTGTCACAGGGTGTGACTTAGAGAGTTGGAAGTCAGTGTGTGTCACAGAGTGTGACTTGGAGAGTTGGAAGTCAGTCTGTGTCACGGAGTGTGACTTGAAGAGTTGGAAGTCAGTCTGTGTCACAGAGTGTGACTTGGAGAGTTGGAAGTCAGTGTGTGTCACAGAGTGTGACTTGGAGAGTTGGAAGTCAGTGTGTGTCACAGAGTATGACTTGGAGAGTTGGAAGTCAGTGTGTGTCACAGGGTGTGACTTAGAGAGTTGGAAGTCAGTGTGTGTCACAGAGTGTGACTTGGAGAGTTGGAAGTCAGTGTGTGTCACAGAGTATGACTTGGAGAGTTGGAAGTCAGTGTGTGTCACAGAGTGTGACTTAGAGAGTTGGAAGTCAGTCTGTGTCACAGAGTGTGACTTGGAGAGTTGGAAGTCACTGTGTGTCACAGAGTGTGACTTGAAGTGTTGGAAGTCAGTGTGTGTCACAGAGTATGACTTGGAGAGTTGGAAGTCAGTGTGTGTCACAGGGTGTGACTTAGAGAGTTGGAAGTCAGTGTGTGTCACAGAGTGTGACTTGGAGAGTTGGAAGTCAGTCTGTGTCACAGAGTGTGACTTGAAGAGTTGGAAGTCAGTCTGTGTCACAGAGTGTGACTTGGAGAGTTGGAAGTCAGTGTGTGTCACAGAGTGTGACTTGGAGAGTTGGAAGTCAGTGTGTGTCACAGAGTATGACTTGGAGAGTTGGAAGTCAGTGTGTGTCACAGGGTGTGACTTAGAGAGTTGGAAGTCAGTGTGTGTCACTAGAGTGTGACTTGGAGAGTTGGAAGTCAGTGTGTGTCACAGAGTGTGACTTAGAGAGTTGGAAGTCAGTCTGTGTCATAGAGTGTGACTTGGAGAGTTGGAAGTCACTGTGTGTCACAGAGTGTGACTTGAAGTGTTGGAAGTCAGTGTGTGTCACAGAGTATGACTTGGAGAGTTGGAAGTCAGTGTGTGTCACAGGGTGTGACTTAGAGAGTTGGAAGTCAGTGTGTGTCACAGAGTGTGACTTGGAGAGTTGGAAGTCAGTCTGTGTCACGGAGTGTGACTTGAAGAGTTGGAAGTCAGTCTGTGTCACAGAGTGTGACTTGGAGAGTTGGAAGTCAGTGTGTGTCACAGAGTGTGACTTGGAGAGTTGGAAGTCAGTGTGTGTCACAGAGTATGACTTGGAGAGTTGGAAGTCAGTGTGTGTCACAGGGTGTGACTTAGAGAGTTGGAAGTCAGTGTGTGTCACTAGAGTGTGACTTGGAGAGTTGGAAGTCAGTGTGTGTCACAGAGTATGACTTGGAGAGTTGGAAGTCAGTGTGTGTCACAGAGTGTGACTTAGAGAGTTGGAAGTCAGTCTGTGTCACAGAGTGTGACTTGGAGAGTTGGAAGTCACTGTGTGTCACAGAGTGTGACTTGAAGTGTTGGAAGTCAGTGTGTGTCACAGAGTATGACTTGGAGAGTTGGAAGTCAGTGTGTGTCACAGGGTGTGACTTAGAGAGTTGGAAGTCAGTGTGTGTCACAGAGTGTGACTTGGAGAGTTGGAAGTCAGTCTGTGTCACAGAGTGTGACTTGAAGAGTTGGAAGTCAGTCTGTGTCACAGAGTGTGACTTGGAGAGTTGGAAGTCAGTGTGTGTCACAGAGTGTGACTTGGAGAGTTGGAAGTCAGTGTGTGTCACAGAGTATGACTTGGAGAGTTGGAAGTCCGTGTGTGTCACAGGGTGTGACTTAGAGAGTTGGAAGTCAGTGTGTGTCACTAGAGTGTGACTTGGAGAGTTGGAAGTCAGTGTGTGTCACAGAGTGTGACTTAGAGAGTTGGAAGTCAGTCTGTGTCATAGAGTGTGACTTGGAGAGTTGGAAGTCACTGTGTGTCACAGAGTGTGACTTGAAGTGTTGGAAGTCAGTGTGTGTCACAGAGTATGACTTGGAGAGTTGGAAGTCAGTGTGTGTCACAGGGTGTGACTTAGAGAGTTGGAAGTCAGTGTGTGTCACAGAGTGTGACTTGGAGAGTTGGAAGTCAGTCTGTGTCACGGAGTGTGACTTGAAGAGTTGGAAGTCAGTCTGTGTCACAGAGTGTGACTTGGAGAGTTGGAAGTCAGTGTGTGTCACAGAGTGTGACTTGGAGAGTTGGAAGTCAGTGTGTGTCACAGAGTATGACTTGGAGAGTTGGAAGTCAGTGTGTGTCACAGGGTGTGACTTAGAGAGTTGGAAGTCAGTGTGTGTCACTAGAGTGTGACTTGGAGAGTTGGAAGTCAGTGTGTGTCACAGAGTATGACTTGGAGAGTTGGAAGTCCAGTAAGTACGGGAAAGGTTACTGCCACAGGAAATTCAGACTGATTACCCCCCCCCACCTTCACGTATTACTACACCCCTAGTCCTAACCCCCAACTCACTGTCTTTCAAATACACACATACACACGCAAACACACCAAACACTGGACTGGTCCACCGACAATGTGGATGTGTGGTTGATATTATGGTAAGCCCTGGCTCTGGTTGTCTGGTAGTCTGATAGTCTGGAGGGGCAGTAAGGGGCCAGCCTGTCCCAGGTTAGCTTCACTCCTTTGGGAAAGGGGACGGCTGATTGATGGGCAGACAGCTGGGCTCTGGGGCTCTGGGCTCCCTCCACTAACAGGCGCCTAAAATAGACCCACATACAGCCCCAGAGTGGCACGGAGAGGGGAGAGAGGGGGCGGGGGAGAGGACTGTGAATGTGGGGTTAGTTAAAAGAGAGGCGGCAGGGAAGTGGGGAGACTGAGAGGGGTTAGGAGAGAGGTTGTGGAGAGAGGGGGCCAGGAGAGCGGAGAGGGAAATTATGAGGGTATGACAGGGCGAGCATGCTAGGAAGAGGTGACTGAGACCTCTGGCACTGAGGAAGGTTTTAGGTGGGGGTCCTGAAGAGTTGGGTATCCCTTTTCCAGGCACTAAGACACAGTAGTATATGACGTTATGACTCAAACCATCATTTAAATTATGATGTTAGATGGACCTCCGCTTACTCATAAAGTTAGAACCAACTATGCTCTTTGATGAATGAGTACATCTCTCTCTCTCTCTCTCTCTCTCTCTCTCTCTCTCTCTCTCTCTCTCTCTCTCTCTCTCTCTCTCTCTCTCTCTCCATCCCCTCTCTCTGACTCAGTCCTGATGAGAGAAACAGAGCAGTTGAGCGAGGCCCTCTGATCTCTGATTGGTTGGCCGTTTTATTTGACTGCGGTATGATTGACCCCATTGTGGGTTCACATCGTAGTTGTGAATTTAATGGGGGGAAAGTTGCGGTATCTCCAGTAGTAGCTGTGTGTATGTGTGTATGTATGCATGTGTGTATGTGTGTGTGCATGTATGTGTGTGTGTGTTTTTCCTGTATCACTACCCAAGGCTAAACGCTGTGGTTCTGTAACGGGTCTCGGATATGACTGTGCTATGTGGTGGGGAGCAATGACAGAGAGAGAAAATAGGAAAGATAGAGGGAGGGAGAGAGTAGGGGGGAAGAGGATGGAGGGAGAGAGAGGGTGTTAGAATCAGGAGGATAGAGGGTGAGAGAGCAGTATGGAGAGAGAGCGAGAGAGAGAGAGAGAGAAAGAGATTTATTTATTTATTTTCCCATTTGTACTTTAACTATTTGCACATTGTTACAACACTGTATAATATGACATTTGAAATGTCTTTATTCTTTTGAAACTTCTGAGTGTCATGTTTACTATTAATATTTATTGTTTATTTCACTTTTGTTTACTATCTACTTCACTTGCTTTGGCAATGTTAACATATGTTTCACATGCCAATAAAGCCCTTAAATTGAATTGAAATTGAATTGAATTGAGAGAGAGAGAGAGAGAGAGAGAGGGAGAGAGAGAGAGAGAGAGAGAGAGAGTGCAGGGAGAGGATGGGGAGAAAGAGAGGGGGATAGAAGCTGGAGGATAGAGGGAGAGAGAGAGCAGTATGGAGAGAGAGAGAGAGAGAGAGAGAGAGAGAGAGAGAGAGGGTGGTGGTGGTGGTGGTGACTGGTTCTTACGTTGATGGTCTCACTCCTTCAGCAAGTCTCTGGTGTGTGTGATAAAAATGGAACCTTACTCCAATGTTACCCTAACACTCTGAGAGGTTCCAAGTTGCTCCTGGTCTCCTGGTGTAAGACAGTGTTCAGGCTCTGAAGTAGTAGACCCTATGGGGTAGTAGAAGCATTCACTGTTGTAGATCCTTCAATTGGTTCCCTCTCTCGGAATAACACACTCCCTGCTCTCTTACTTTACTGGAGCTGAGGGAAGTGAATGAGACCTCTCTCTCTCTTTCCCCATCTTTTTTGTCTCTCCTTCTCTCTCGCTTCGTCTCTGTCTCTTCATCTCACTCTCAATTTCAATCACAACAGAGAGAGAGAGAGGAGAAGAGGGGCGGGAGAGCTGGAGAGAGAGAGAGAGAGGAGAGAGAGAGTGCGAGGAGAGAGAGAGAGAGGAGGAGGGAGAAGGACGTATGGCGGAGAAAGAGAGAGAGAGGGTGGGGTGGTGGTGGTACTGGTCTAAATTGATGGTCTCACTCCTTCAGCAAGAGGTTCAAGTGCTCCTGGTTCTGGTGTGGTCTGCTGGTCTCTCTATATCTCTCTATCTCTCTCTCTCTCTCTCTCTCTCTCTCTCTCTCTCTTCTCTCTCTATCTCTCGCTCTCTCTCTCTCTCTCTCTCTCGCCTCTCACTCTCTCTCTCTCTCGCTCTCTCTCTCTCGCATGCACGCACACTCTCTCGCTCTCTTCCTCTATCACTGTCTTCCTCACCCTCTCTCTCCCTACAACATTGTCTCTAATTGTTACCATGTGTCAGAGTCAGTCAGCTCAGAAGAATGTCCGAGCAGGGCCAGAACACCCCCCCTACTCACCCCCCCCCCCACACACCCCACACCCCCTACCTCTCTAGCAGCCACCAGGGATAAGAAACTCTGTCTAGCCAAGAGAGGAGAATAACTCTGAATGCAACACCACCACCACCACCTCCACCTCCACCATCACCATCACCACCACCACCACCACTTCCCCCAAAAACACCTCACCCCCTGTTAATATCTTTCTTTATAAATACAGTGCTCTATATTGGCTTTACATTGTTCTCCTCCCATAGACTTCCAGCCATTTTTCTTGTGTCATGTACAGTGTTCAGATACAGAGGACTTAGGAAAAGGTCCAGCTTTCAACAGCCAGTTGAATATGTCACCTCATAGTTAGAGGGCCTGGTGTTTAGTGTTGCAATCTGTGTAGAGGGAATTGAATGGGCTGTATGTAAGATCTATTAATGGGGTGGAAGCACATCAAATCAAATGACAATATCATTCTCACACTGAGAACCCCTGACCAGATATTGGTGTAATAATCATTTTGCTCTGTTATTGTCACAAGCCGGGCTAGAACTCCGGTCTCAGATGTGGAAAGCTGGGGGTACTACCCCTTAGCCACAGAGGAGGTGTTGTAGGACCCAAATGAAACACCCAAGGCAATACTCCAGGTAAGTTGATTTAATGTTCCAAAACAGGAGGCAAAACAAAACAACTCCACGAGGGGAGAAAAACAAACTAAAGATAACTTCGAACAGCTTACTAGGACAGACACGGTGGGACACAGCAGGAGACACATAGTCAGGACGCAATAACCAAGTGAGAAACAAGGGGAAAACACACAGCTAAAATACTAAAGGGCAAACAAGGCACAGGTGACCTGGATCAAACTAATGAGGACACACGAGGAAGAACTAAGGCAGAGGGGAACACAGCTGACCTCTAGAGGCCCGGAGACAAACAGGAGAAGCAGGAAGCTGACAGGACCCCCTCCTCTAGGAACGACTCCTGACGTTCCTTCCAGAACACCCTGGCCCCCGGGTGCGAAAATCTCGGATCAACCCTGGGTCCAGGATGTCCCTGGCTGGAACCCAGGAGCGCTCCTCTGGCCCGTAGCCCTCCCAGTCCACCAGATACTGCAGAGAGTTCTGGACCCTCCGGGAGTCCAGTATCCGGCGGACTGTGTAGGCTGGCTGGCCGTCAATGATCCTGGGAGGTGGCGGGGGTCTGCGTGGGGGGGCAAAGGGAGAAGACAAGACAGGTTTAATAAGTGAAACATGGAAAGTGGGGTTAATTCTAAGGGAACGAGGGAGAACCAAACGATAAGACACAGGGTTAACCTTTCTAGCAATGCGGAAAGGGCCGATGTATCTCTGGGAAAGCTTCTTGGACTCGACCCGGAGGGGCAGGTTCTTGGTGGCCAACCAAACTCTCTGACCAGCTCGGAAACTAGGGGCCGTCCGGCGGTGGCGATTAGCCTGACTTTGGTATCTCTGGGAGGTCCGAAGGAGGGCACGCCTGGCCTTCTTCCAGGTCCGCCTACAGCGTTGGACAAAGCGCTGGGCCGAGGGAACACCAACTTGCGCCTCCTCCTCTGGAAATAATGGAGGGTTGTAACCGAACTGGCATTCGAAGGGGGACAATCCGGTGGCTGAGGACTGGAGGGTGTTGTGGGCATATTCAGCCCAAATGATATAGGTGGCCCAAGACGTGGGATTACTGGCCGCCATACACCGCAGGGTGGTCTCCAGATCCTGATTAATCCGTTCCGTTTGACCATTAGACTCTGGATGGAACCCTGACGATAGGCTGGCTGTGGCCCCAACAAGCCTGCAGAAGGCCCCCCAAAACCGGGACGAGAATTGGGGACCTCGGTCAGAGACCACGTCCAGGGGAATACCAAATATCCGGAAGACATGGTTCATGAGGAGCTCAGCAGTCTCCTTAGCCGAGGGCAGCTTGGGCAGGGGAATAAACCGGCCAGCCTTAGAGAAACGGTCTACCACCACTAGGATGACGGTGTTTGCCCTGGGATAGAGGAAGTCCCGTAACAAAGTCCAGAGACAGGTGTGACCATGGCCTTCGAGGAACAGGTAAGGGATGGAGCAGTCCCTGGGGTCGCTGGCGTGTCGACTTTCCCTGGTTGCACACCGGGCAGGCCTCCACATAGACCTGCACGTCCTTCTTGATGGACGGCCACCAAAACCGCCGTCGGAGGAACTCCAGTGTGCGAGCACTGCCTGGATGGCATGTCAAGGGCGACTCATGACCCCACTGCAAGACGCGGGCCCGAACAGAGAGAGGAACGTACAGGCGACCGGCAGGACCACCGCCTGGATCGGGCTCATGGACAAGAGCTTCTCGTACCCCTCTTTCTAGTTCCCACTGAAGAGGTGCGACGATCCTAGACCTCGGAATAATCGATGCCAAGGGCTTCTCTCGTACCTCGGGAGAATAGACTCGAGACAGGGCATCCGGCTTGACGTTCTTGGTGCCAGGTCGGTAAGACAGGAGGAACTGGAATCGATTGAAGAAAAGGGACCATCGTGCTTGCCGAGGGTTCATCCGCTTAGCCTGTTGGAGATATTCCAGGTTCTTGTGGTCTGTGAGAACCTGGAAAGGGTGCTGAGCCCCCTCAAGCCAATGGCGCCACTCCTCCAAGGCCAGTTTTACCGCAAGCAACTCTAGATCCCCCACGTGGTAGTTGCGCTCGGCCTCAGACAGGCGGCGAGACATGAAGGCACAAGGGTGTAATCTCCCATCCGCACCCCTCTGTGACAGGACGGCTCCCACCCCCCACCTCTGAGGCGTCCACCTCCACCACGAAAGGTCTTTCTGGGTCAGGGGTCACCAGAATCGGAGCAGAAGTGAAGCGGCGCTTGAGATCCTCGAAGGCCCCTGCTGCTTCCGGACCCCAGTGAATCCTGGTCCCTCCTCCCTTGGTAAGCGTCGTCAAGGGGGCTACCACCGAGCTGAAATTCTTGATGAACTTCCGATAGAAGTTAGAAAAGCCAATGAACCGTTGAACCTCCTTGACCGTGGCAGGTGTGGGCCAATCGTGGACCGCCTTGACCTTCTTGGGATCCATCTCTAGGTGCCCAGGAGTGACAATAAACCCGAGAAACTGAGTCTGAGAAACATGAAATTCACACTTCTCAGGCTTAACGTAGAGGTGATTGTCAAGGAGCCTCTGGAGAACCCGGCTAACATGCCCCTCATGCTCCTTCAGTGACCTCGAGAAGATGAGGATATCGTCCAGGTACACGAAAACGAACAGATTAAGCATATCCCGGAGAACATCATTAATCAGGGCTTGGAATACTGCGGGGGCATTGGTGAGCCCGAACGGCATCACCCGATATTCATAGTGC